AGTTTGTTTATCAAATCTATCATTTTATTGTTTTTCTCTCAAACACTATTCAATCTTAATATAGAACAGCCCATACACGCATCATAAGTGGTATCAGAGCCTAGTTCCGATTGGGTGTAACTAAGTTCTTGTTAAAAAAAAATTCTGCTAAGTTTGTTTGAATTCAGTTGTTGTCCAAAAATGTTGCGCAAGCTATATGATGAAGAAGAGGAGGAAGAAGATTCTGGTCCCATCTACGACACCGATGGAGAAGGGGAATTTTGTGAAAGAATAAATTTCTTGGTTGAAGAGGAATTTATTGAAGAAATTGAAGAAGAAGCTAATTTCGTGATCGGAGATGAATTTGTTGAAGCGATTGTGGAAGAAATCAATTTTGTTGATATGGACAAAATTGTTGAAGAAATTGTGATTTTTGTTGAACAACAAATTTCATTCCAAGAGCTTACAACCACGAGAACAAATGGCTATAAGTGCCACAAAAATTCAGGTTCTCATATCTTTTATGAATATAATTTCTTTTCTAATGATCTTAAAGAAATCCAAATTGGAAGATTCATTGATCAAGAAGGGTTATTTGTTTTTCATCTTCATGTTCGTTTCAAAGTGTGGGAATTTTTTACACTTTGGAGACCATGGAATGCTTATATTTTACATTTTGAAGACCTTGACGAGAGGAGGAAGTATGGTGAGAGGTTGGATTTTACTGATTATGATCTTACCAATGATTTTTTTTGTTTTGTCTTCATTCATTGATCAAAAGGAGAAAAATACTTGCATATTACTTTTGATAAAAAGTTTTGTGCAATTGGAGATGGAGACTTTTCATTCGTGACTAAAAAACAACAAGACCAATTATTTTTGGATGATGGCAGAATTTTGTACCCTCCAAAAGATGATATGAAGATTTCCAAAACAAGATGTGTTCATGGTGGTAGCAATCAGTCACGAAAAGAGGCATTGTGTGGCAATTCTTATGCTAATTTTTCGTGTTGGCCACAAACAAAAGATATTTTTATTAATTCTTCATTTGTTTTTCAAAAACACCAGGAGCGAAGCCTTGAAGTTTGTGGTGAAAGAAAGACGAAGGATTGTATCCATCTTTTTACAAACCATCTTTCTAAGAGTAAAGAAGAAAGAATTAATCAATATGAAGATCCAAGTCCCAAGTATTTACGTAGGAGGGAGCTCATGATGTTGGGACTCATATTCTTTTGGTGTGCCTTAAATTGGGAAGCCATGATATTCGTGCTGCTCATCAACTTACAAATACAAATGATGTTCCATTTGTTAAAATGACTGCAATTAACCATTTAAATCATTGCAAGGTTAACTTGCAGGGTCGAGTTCATGGGAAGGTACGGAAAAGGTTTTTTATCCACGAATGGAAGATACGGTTAGGATTAAACTCTATGAGTTATTTGAGTTGTTTGAAGAACATGTGTATGTGGAGAAGAGACCCGCTTGGAGTAAATAAAATGTCACATTCTGCAATAAAAAATTGTTTTCAAGACTTGCTGTCATGGAAGGTTCGTATGGGGGAACAACACAATTTGGTTCTTACTGAATTGAGGACAATTCCTTTCGAAGGAGGAGGGAATGATACATGTGTGGAAGTGACAAATTCTGAAAATGATAATCGTTACAATGTGGATTTGGGAGGAGACCATGGAATGCATGCTACCTTTAATGTGGGAGATCTTTCACCTTATCTTGATGATGATGGCCTTGATGAATTGAGGTCAATTCCTTTCAAAGGGGGAGGGGATGATCCATGCATGGATCATGAAAGCCCAAAAGGTGATGGATTAGTTATTACTAGTGGGCTAGAAGGTGGTTTGGGATTAATGGTTGGGTTGTGCATGGTAACCCACAAATTGAATTAGGGTTGCATGAAGGCTAGGGCAACATTTTTAAGGCTTCATAAGTGCTAAAAACGTTACTTTTTACTTCATAAAGCCTCCTAGCCGTTTTTATCACTCTTTGGTGGATTAGGGTTACACTTTAATGCTTCTGATGGCTCATTAATGCTTCTTATGGCTCCTTAATGAAGCATAGACGTTTTTTCTTCATCCTCAAGTGTCTTGGACGTTTTTTTGTGTTATTTCAAGAGTTTCCTTAATTTTCATTTACTAGTTTTACTGAATAATTGGTTGGTTGGCTTGTAACCACCAAATTTGTAATAAAGGCTTCATATAAAGCCAAGTTTATGCATGGGAAAAATGATAGACGAATTTTAATAAAAAGAACCCTTTTGTTCACTTTGAATTATTGTCATAGTTCACAAATTATCATCTTTTGGACGTGATCCTTGAGTTGATCGAATTCAAGCTAATAGGTCTTAGTTTGTCTTCAGATTTACAAGCTATAGGTCTAGTTTGTTTATCAAATCTATCATTTTATTGCTTTTCTCTCAAACACTATTCAATCTTAATATAGAACAGCCCATACACGCATCAGCGTACCATGTGGGTACGCTTAGCGTACTATTAAATGAGTGGATCGCGTATCCGGACCTTGTACATGGGCCGTACGGGGGGGGGGGGGGGGGGTTAGTGAAACCCTATTTTTAGGGTGTTGCACCCTATATAAGCTCCTTAGGGTGTTCCTAGGGTTGGCCTCTTTACCAGCCTCCATATCTCCTAAACCCTAAAATTTCGACCCTTAGCCATCATTTTGTGTCTTTGATCTCTTGATAAGAAAACTTGGTGTTTTGTTACTCATTTTGAAGGGATAGAAGAAGATTAAAGGTGTATTGCTTGGTGTGAAGCTTAGAAATCCAGAATCATCACTCCTTTTGCAAGTCATTAGAGGTATAAAGATCTTATCTTGACAAGTTCTCTTATGGATCTTCTTTTGGACTTGTTTATGGCCATTTTAGTCCCTTTTGGTTGGTCTTAATGAGTTAAGACCGTTTTAGAAGCTAAATCTTGTAGATCTGGATGTTTGGAGGGTTCCTTAATCTTAAAGGTGCAAACTTTATGGTGTTTATGGTCTCATGCATGTATTAAGTCATTTATTAAGATCTTTTGAACTCAAAGAGCCTCATTAAGCCATGCATCCACGTAAAGTTGGCAACTTTACGTGATAAACCATCTTAAGGAAGTCAGATATGAGTTTGCATTGAAGTGTTAATCGTTTAAGAGCTGGAAAATGGAAGTTGGCCAAATGGGGGAGTATGTTGGGCGTACAAGCAGATACGCTTAGCATACAAGCCCTAAAGCGAGTACGTTGCGCGTACGTGCTGAGTACGCCCTACATACTTAGCAGGTTAGGCTTCGGACTCTTGGGATTTCAGTTTTGGCCATGTTTGGACTTAGATGTTTAGGGCCTTGTTAGGCCACAAGGTTTTTGGGTTGATGCTTATTTTTGGTTCGCTTTGAAAAGGCCCATAAAGGGATTTGGGCCCAATTTGGAAAATTAGGCCATATTTGGGCCTAGGGTGATTATTTTTGAAGCTGGGCCTTTGGACAAATAGATTGGGCCTTGGCCTTGGGTCAAGCTAGGTAAGGGGTAAAATGGTCTTTTTACCCTAATTTTGGACTGATGGTTATGGATTGGAATCCATTTATTAATTGGATGTCATTGGTATTGATAACTCGGAGATTTGTCAGACCAGCAGCCAGAGATTTATCCGTATGATTCAGCAGTTCGAGGTGAGTTTCGTCACTATGTTTAGCGGGTCGAAGGCACTAATGTCAGCCCATGGTTTGTTATGCTTAGTATGCTTGTTGTATGCGTGAGTCTTGCATCTGTTATGTGTTTTATGTTAACCGAGCGGGGCTCGATGCCAGACGGGGCTGATGAGTATATTATATGCTAGTTATATGTATGTGTTTTTATGATTACCAGGTACGATCCGAGGCCGAGCGGGACCCGATGACCATTCTGTATGCTATGTATCTTTGTGATTATTGCATGTGTTATGTGTTTATATGTTTATATGTTTTATATGTATGATGGGCGGGGCCCAATGGATGACAGATCTGTATATCGAACGGGGCTCGATGCCGAGCGGGGCCCATTATGTGTTTATTATGTATGGTATGTGATATTTTGGAGAACTCACTAATCTTTGTGCTTACGGTTTTCAGCTTATGTTTTAGGTACTTCTGGTTTCAAATGGAAGAGCTTGGGATGATTGTTAAGCACACACCATTCGTTTCCGCATTTTGTGATTTACTCTGATAATGATGATGTATTGATAAAATTTGATTACCTTGGTTTTATGACAATGATATGGTTCGCTGTTTTATTAATTTAAAAATGAAAGTTTCCGGGTCTTATTTTTGGGACGTTACACATTGTAAGATGGAATATTTATCCATCATGTCTGATAGGGAAATCGACGATATACACGTTTACTAGACGGCGCAAATATCGGGGTTGAAGATTGATTAGATTATGTGGATGTAGTTGAATCACTTGAGCAAGACAAATGTATATTGAAAATAGAAGGTCCACCTCTACTCCCATTAACATATGTTATAGTTGTTAAAATTTTGTCGATCATTTTGAGTTGATTAGAAAGCCTTGAGAATCATCACAGTTCTCTTAAATATAGGTTAGTTTTATCCTCGTGAATAACAAATGTAGGCCGTGAGTGAGGTTATTTAATATGAAATATGTAACGATTACATGGGAAAATGATAATAGTAAATTAATACGAATTATCTGTGATTCAAAAGCGATATTCCATTTGTGACCCTAATACTCATGTTCATTTCGTGCTTTTAACGATTTGAGCTGGGGTGGCTTGTGAGTAGATCGGTTCGTCTACATCCTTAGAAAAATCTAATCCATGAATGAGCTAGTGAAACTTCACAGTATTTCTGATATTTTTTAGATTCCAAAAAATATCTATGATGACAAAACCCTAAAAAAATTACTTTAATGAAAAACAAATGAGATTTAGTGAATAATTATACTATTTTAAAAATAGTATTTTTAATTGTCTGTGAATCATTTTTATCCCCTCAAAATTTCCAACGTTCCAAGTGTAGGGTTGATTCGGTTCAGTTCAGGCCTCTTCTGCTTTCTTCAAATACTCTCTTGCTCCCCAAGGTTCATATGTAACGCCTTCACCGTCACGGCCGTAACTGAACTTAATCTCGCCGATGAACAGGTAACCATCTCCTTCTCCTTACTGTCCCTCCGCCGAACGTGATTTCTTCTACCCTATTCACGGCTTCGCCGGACTAAACTGTTTAACCTGCTTCTCCTATCTTTTGGATGGTGTTTTTCAAACTCGCTAAGAGTTTCGTGGCAAGACTCGATCTGATTGTACCCATATATGAATATTTTTGCAACCAAACTTGATTTAGCGTTATCCACCCTCCCTTCAAGTTCTGTTTCGTAGGATTTGTTTCTGGTTTAATGAATGTACAAGTTATTGTTGCACAAATGCATATTATATCTGCAATAATAGTCAACAAACTTCAAGGCAAAACCCCTAAATCCGTTTCTCATCCCTTTGGCTGCTAACATGATTCTAGAACTCATCTCTAATTTTTGTTCTCACATCGTAAACTATGATAACTCAGTATCTCTCAGTCTGTTGATTATACAATGTTGAAAGTGAAAGAAGACTATATGATTGCCTTTAACAGGCATGTTAATCAAGTAACTCGATGCTTTAGGGTTTTTTTTTTTTTTTTTTTTTTTTTTGTTATGAATTACATGGCAATTAAGTGATTCTTGTTGCATTTGTGTGCAAAAATCTTGTTTTCTCATTTCTAGGTTGTTATCTGATTAGCTTGGTGATTAAATTTGACTATTTAAATCACCCTTTCCATTAAAAACAATCTTGAGGGAATAGAATCTTGAGTATTTAACTTGTAAATCTTGGAATTGCTGTCTACAAAAACTATTCTTCTAGTTTTACTGATTTTATGTTGTATAAAATGTATACAAAGTAGTTAATTTGTGCTTATACTTGTGATCTTTTGTCATATCTGTTCAATGGTTCACATATGATCGGTCTTGTTATTGGTTTTGAGTAGAAAAAAGATGGTGAACACGCGAAGCAGTAGAGAAAATCAAGATGCTAGTGAGAGGGGCCCACAACCACAAAAGGAGACAACTGGGAATCAAGAGGGAAATTCTAGATTGTCAATAACGGCTGAAATCCACAAGATAATCGACGAGAAAATGGGGTCAATTCTTAATGGGGTCATCAAGCCATGTCCATACAAGACGTTTCTTAGTTGCCAACCGCCAGAGTTCTCAGGGAGCACGGACCCCACCGCGATCCTGAACTGGATTACTGAGATGGAGATGACATTTGATTTATGCGAGTGTAGAGAGGAACAAAAAGTGAAGTTTGCAGTTCGTATGCTCAAAGGGAACGCGTTCTCATGGTGGAACGTGACTCGAATGTTGTTGGGTGATGAAGCTGCGTCCCACCTCACATGGGGCGACTTTGTTGAAAAGGTAAAAGAGAGGTATTGTTCGCATACCGATCTCTTTTCGATGGAAAGAGAGTTTGTTAATTTGGAAAAAGGGAATATGACAGTCGATGAGTATGCATGTTTGTTTGTTGAGAAATTGCAGTATGTGGGGCACTTGGCCCCAAGTGATGAAGATTGTGTGGCACGTTTTGTGGCGGGGTTGTCATTTGAATACTCGATAAACGTAGAAAATGTGAAAAATTTGAATGAGGCTATTTGTGTGGCTAAGAGGTTAGAGGAAATTGAGAATGAAAAGGAAGAAAGGGAAGATGTTGGAGAAAAGAGAAAATGGGGAGGGGAATTGGGGTCTTTAAAAAAATCAAAAGGAGAGGTCAAATCTTGTTAGGTGATTGATGACTGCGGATGTTGTCTAAAATATGTATTTGGTAACTTTGTTTTTGAACAACATGTCACCTCAAGGTTGAAGTCTGTGGGATTCGAACTTGGATATTTTGTTTGCTTTACGGAAAGTGGCTTGCTTCTTGTTATCAAATTTTTGTAAGCAAATTGAGGTGCCATTATGTAAGTTAGATGATGCCTTTAATTGTAGAAATGGGGGCAAATCATATGGCTATTAGAACTTGTTCTTACTAATTAGTTCTTAACACTAGATTTTGAAGACTTTGGAGACAATTGTTTATTATGTCTTTGTTGTTATTTGGACATTTAGATTATTATCTCATGATTTGAGGTTTATTTGTTAACACGTTCGGGTAACTTCAGTTATGATGGTTAACAAACTTTGCTAATATTTGGGTTTTTTTAGATGTATTGATTTAAGTTTTTGAGTTTTGTTATTTCCGTAGAATTTCGGGTTTTTTTCCATATTGTTGTTCTTTTATAGGTTATTGCCAAGTGCCGTCAATCAAACATGGACTTTGGTTTTTGTTAACTGACTGATTGGAAAAAAAAAGATTCTAATTCATAATATGAGCTAATCACCAAATCGCCGATAATGGCTGAGGTTCTATAATATTGAACATCGTTTAATGAACATTTATTGATACTATAATGTCACAAACTCTTCTTGAAACATTGTTACTTTTCTGAATCACTTTTCCTCATAAATGGGCTTATCTTGGCTTTTTAGACAAATCTATGTTTCACAATAACTTTGCAAAATTGTGTTTTTTTTACAAAGTGATATATATATATATATATATATAATATATATATATATATATATATATATATATATATATATATATACCTTCGTAAAGGATTTCCCCATAATGTCCATGACCAGTTGCTCCTGGAGTAGCCAAATAAGGCTTAGTTGATCGTATTACCACAGAGTCAACTTGAACAATTAGAACTTGACCCGATTTTAAATGCGGTCCTTTTTTTGCTATACATACATTTTCACAAAGAAACTGCCCAAGACTAACGATTGGAGATGTCTCTTCACAATAATTGTAATAGAGAAAATACCAATTCAAATGGAATGGATTCAAAATGATGTTACTGCATGAATAGGGATTATAAATTTGACAATTTTCATCCAGTAAATAATATTTAAGTATTTGAAAAATCTGCTTGAAATTGTCAAGTTGCAAATAGTTAGTTACCAAGATCTGATTATGGGTTATTAAATGGGAAAATAAATCAAAATTATAAATTGGAAAACCTGTTCCTAACGGGCCCAACGAATTCCTAATTGGAATTGGGGGTTCTTTTTGATTGATTCTTTTATCACATTGGGAGATTTTACATCGTTGAATGGGCCTATTCGAAAACAATTGGATGATGACAAAATTATCAAAGATTGAGATTCCTTATTTCGATTCAACAACGTATGGATAGTTCCTTGATTTGGATTAAGGGATTCTTTAATCCTTGACTTGGAATATGAATAAATGGAAGAAAATGGATTGACATTAGCGCGATCTGATCCATTCTCAGAGATCAATCCTGAACCCGACAGATCGTTCCTTTTTCCGGTATAAGAAATAGGTGACTTAGCTAAGTCGATTCTTAGAAAATATCTAAGCAAACCATTTGTCCTTATTTCAACAAAGGAAGCACAGGCCTTTTCGATTTTTTTGTCTTGGTCCCAATTCAACACTAAAGAAGTCCGAACTAATTGAATACTTGTGTCCTAAATTTCAAGAATTCGGTCGTAATAAAGGATGTAATTGACAACTCGAAGTTGTAGATTATCACTTTCCTGCAAGAGATCCGGCGGGAAAAGTCTTCCTAAATTTATACCATCCGTTTTTTTATATGGGACTACAGGTTGAACCAAAACAAAATACTTTTTTTCATACCCGGAAAGTTTCATTCGTTGGATATAGAACCAATTTTTCAATTTTTTGTATTCTTTGGAATTTGGTTTTCCCCCTCCTGGCGGTATCAATCGGAATGCCTTATTTGTCTTTCCAGGAAAATGGATATCTCCAGAAAAGATTATCAGTTTCATTTTTTTTGCTTTTTACTTCACTCGGACCAATCCGCCTACCCGACTTCTTCTCTTGAAAATGATTTGTGTATCTGCCCCAATAATACTATTGTGTCGTACCATTATGGAAGAAGATTCAGACAAAATGTGGACTTCCACGGGAATAAAAAAATGGATTTACTTCCTTTTGGTATTTTGGCCAAAATACCTTGACTCCTCGATACTCAATCAAATTCTCTTCGTTGACGATTGAATTTAGTTCTCGAGTCTCATATTTAGTAAGTCCCGAGCTCTTTCTTATATATCGAGGATCATCGAAATAAGCAAGAATACTATTTCTACGGAGAATACCATTTCTGGGTATTTCCATTGAGATACTTGAAGAAGGTATTAGTTGGTTCTCGCCTTCTTGAATCGATTCGAGTGGGATGATGAATCTATTCCTTCTCCTCTTTGCCAATAAATCAGAATTACCGTCGAGAATGGCCGGATATCTGAGATTACAATGATCCGTACATGTCATTCGATTCAGTTCTGAATAATCAGGAATCCTATCTCCTTTTTGATTTTTACCAGAAAAATACGAACTAAAAAATTTGTGTCTCACTTGATTATTAGTTACTGAGGGGTTAGCAATATATCTTGGCTTGACAGAAAGAGAATAAGCGTTCATTTGATCTTGATCCTTGTGGATCGAACAAGGGCCTAGACTGTATCTCCAGGGCTCCCCTAATAATATCCATAAATGACTTGTTTTTGGTAAGAGATGAATATTACCATATGTAAATTCAGGTGCATGGTACACATCAGTATTCCAGTGCATTTCGCCTTCTGAGTCAGAATAAATATGTTTTCGAACCTTCTCTTTCAAATTCAAAGTGGAGGTTCTCGCGCGAATCTCAGCAATCACTTGTTCTGATTCTACATATTGATCGTTTTGAACTAAAAGAAAACTTTTGGGCGGAATACACACATTGTGTATAATATCTTCACTCTCAATAGTTACATACAAGTCTCTAGAACATAGAAAAGCAGGATGTCCATGACTTGTACGTGTCGGATGAACCAAATCCTCGTTGAATTGTATTTTTCCATTAGAAGGGGATCGCACATGTTCTGCAGTACCCCCTGTAAATACTCCGCCGGTATGAAAAGTTCTTAATGTTAATTGAGTGCCCGATTCTCCAATAGACTGACCTGCAATAATACCTACGGCTTCTCCCAATTCGACCAGGTCGTCATGAGCTGGACTCCGGCCATAACATAATTGACAAATCCAAGATGTACTCCTACAAGTAAAGGGGGTTCGAATAGAGATTGGTTGTGCTCTAAAAGTTATGAATCTACTGACAAGTCCAACCCCAATATCTTGATTTCTAGTAGCAATACATCGCGAACCTATATATATCATCTGCTAATACACGACCAATTAATGTTTGGATAAAAATCATGTCCGTCATCATTCCATTTCGAGGACTTACAGAAATACCTCGAACGGTGCCACAATCTGTTCGACGTACAACAATGTGTTGAACTACTTCAACAAGTCTGCGCGTGAGATATCCTGCATCTGATGTTCGGATAGCGGTATCCACAACCCCTTTACGGGCTCCGTAACAAGAAATAATGTATTCTGTTAAAGACAGTCCTTCGCGTAAATTGCTTTGAATGGGTAAATCAATCATTTGCCCTTGAGGATCCGACATTAATCCTCTCACACTTACTAATTGATGTACCTGAGATGCATTTCCTCTGGCTCCCGAAAAAGACATTATATGGACTGGATTAAAAGGATCGGTCATCCGAAAATTAGGATTCATTTTTTGTCGCAAATATTCACTTGTGGCATACCATATTTCGATCGATTGACGTAATTTTTCTACCGCGTGTACATTCCCATAATGATGGTGTTTTTCCAAAATAAAACTTTGTTGTTCAGCGTCTTAAACTAGCCATCTTTTAGAAGGTATTGTTAAAAGATCATCAATTCCTAATGAAATGGATGTGGCGGTAGCTTGTCGGGAAACCCAGAGTCTTTACTTGATCCAGGATATGTGATGTATATCTTATTCCATAGTGATCAATAAATCGACTAATAAGCCGTTTCATGGCAGTTCCGTCTATCACTTTATTGTGAAAGACCTGAGTGGGCCGTTCTGCCGTCAGTACCTCCATATTGCGCTGAGTAGAATTTTACAATGGGCTTGAGTCAGTGATCGGAAAACTTCCTTTTCTAGATCTTGATTCACGTAGAAATTCTGCACTTATGGTCCTAGTTAACCCGGAGAGACTCGAATTCCCGTTGGTAGCATAGAATTACAACAGCCCTGCCAAAACCCCTGTATGGCTTCTTCTATTTCTCGATAAAGGGAAATATGACCAAGAGTGGGGTCGAATATATATATATATATATATATATATATATATATATATATATATATATATATATATATATATATATATATATATATATATAAAGAATTTCTTTTTTTATACTTCGCACTATTAGATAGTGTCCATAAATCTCATAATAGGTCCCCACAGATTCATAGTGAATTTCGATGGGAACTTCTCTTGGAGCAATAACGCGTTGATCTAGTCGCCACCGCAGCCACAAAGGACTACTTAAATTGATTCGTTTTTGTCGATAAGCTCCAATTGCATCATAGGGATTACAAAAAAAGGTTCTTTTTTTTGTATACTTATAGTTATTATCTTCATTTTCATAGTTTCTACGATTACATGGATTATACCTATTTACACAAATACCCCGACGATTTCCACTCATTAAAAATGTCTATATATATATATATATAGATATATATATATATATAATATATATATATATATATATATATATATATATATATATATAATAAAGATGTCTATGTGCTACATTCAATTTTTTTAGTTTATATTTATAAGGCGACGCACAGATTTGATTTTAATTATTTAGTTTTTATTTAAACTCTATTAATCCTTTTTTATTTACTATATAAAATAAAAATGTATTTTTTAAAGTTTCTATATAATTTTCAGTTTTATTTATAAGGTGACATATGACATCCTAACAGATTTTCTTTTAATTATTCAGTTTTTAATGAACTTTATTAATCTTTTTTAATTTTAAAATGAAATTTAATCGAATTCAGTTGCATCCCTTGGTTTTAGCCATTATTTTAGCTCACCATACAATCAAATTTAAATTTTCAAGAAATCTCCTTTCTATTGGGAATTTTTTTACATTCCAATTCTTATTCTTCATATTTCAAAATTTCAAAAGCCGATTTTAACATTAACAACATTCAAACAAACTCCAACAAAATATCTACCCTTATTAATAAAAGAATAGTTCTTAGCATCCATGTGTCACTTTCGTAGCCCTCCACCTCATCGGTTGCCACGTGTCTTTATGTTAGACAATTCCTTCGAATTTGAATATTGAAGACCAAAATGATTACCGAAATTACCAAATATTGATTACTAAAATACCAAAATTTCCGATTTCAATAAACTTAAAATGAAAGCACAGGACCCGTACGCGTAACAGAGAAGTCACAACCCCCTAGGGCTTTGTTGGGAGTTGGTTCCCCTGTTCTGTATGCATAATTATATGATATCTCCCTAGTGTATTCTATGAGGTGAGTTGAGATTGAATCCGGATCGGGATCAGGGGCTGGCAGTCATGATGGAGATGCGTCGGATGCCCGGATTAGGGAGATTCTCCGAGAGAAGGTTGTGGCCATTGTTCGGGATCAGATGTCGGAGCTGTTTGGGTCTTTTAAGACCGCGATAATGGAGTTTTTTGATGACAGATACACATCCATTGCTGAGACTACTGCTGTTGCAACCTCCGCAGTCGTGGTAGCTACAGGTGTTGGACCGGGTCGGGTTTTTCAGTATCAGGACTTCGATAATACGAAGCCCCCGACCTTCGATGGAGTTCAGGACCCGATTATAGCCATAAGGTGGGCTATCTGACGTTGAGGGATGCTTTTTCACATGTTCTTGCCCAACTGACCAGAAGGTCAGTTGCGCTCTGAATCTCTTGAGGTCCGGAGCAAAGGATTGGTGGAGACTTGTCACTAGATCATATTCGGCTGAGCAGAGGGTTGCGGTATCTTGGGAGCAGTTCACGGAGATGTTCTGTACTCGTTATGTGTTGCGGGTCGAGCGCGAGAGGTTGGGCCAGGAGTTTTTGGACCTGAGGCAGGGTACGGAGTCGGTGACGGAAATCACTCACATGTTTACTGAGAGGGCTATGTTTTTCCCTGAGTTTGCTTCAGAACAGGCTCAGATGACCCGTTATTTGAGCATGCTCAAGACAGATATAAAGCAGTTTGTTTATACCCAACGATGTGATTCTTTGTTGGAGTTGTAGGAGGCCTCCAGACGGCATGAGCTTGAGATAGAGTTTCAGATGAGGGAGCAGAGACCGGCCCCAACACAGTCGCAGTCGGCGCCAAAGTGGTTCAAGGCCGCTGATTCTAGGTCTGGGGGTCAGTGAGGCCGCACTTGTGGGAAGTGCGGAAAGGTTCATGACGGGGCTTGTCGATCAGGAGGGGTATGCCACAAGTATGGCAGGGAAGGGAACTACGCGAGGGATTGCCGCCAGTTAGCCCCAGTTCAGAGTACGAGGATTTGCTATCATTGTGATCAGGTTGCCCATATGAAGGTCAACTATCCGTTGCTCGCCGCCAAGCCGGCGTAGGCTCCCACACAAGCAACTTGAGGATCACAGATGGGCGCCAGGGGAAGGCGGAGCCCCCGAGGGCTCGGGGTCGACCCTTTCAGATCACTGCCGAGGAGGCCAGAGCAGCTCCAAATGTTGTGACTGGTATGTTTCTATCCCTTATCTTATTGATTATGTTTGTATTATGCTTATAAATTTTTACCTTTGGTAGGTACGTTCCTAGTGAACTCCTTACCCGCTTTAGTGTTATTTGACTCGGGTGTGAGTTAGTCCTTTGTTTCTCGGTCATTTAGTAGGGAGTTTGCTATGCCCTTGGGGGAATTGGAGTGTCCATTGCGAGTTTCTATCGCCAACGAACACGAGGTTTCTGATTCTTCGGTGTATCAGGGTTGTGTTCTGGAGATCTTCGGGGTATCCTTTCCGATTGATTTGATCCATATCCCCATGGGGGATGTCTGCGTGATTGTTTGTATGGATTGGCTGAGCCGTTTCGGTGCTATGATCGATTGCGAGGGCCAGGGCATGGTAGTTCGGGCCCCAAGTGGGGGATAACTGGTTATTTATGGATAGGGCACCAGGATAGGTTCAGGGTTTTGTTCGGCAACCAGAGCTCGACAGTATATTTGTCACACCCCCGAACCGGAGAAACGGCGGAAACGTCTGGGGGTTTGGGTGACTTCATATTGTAATATCATCACAATGAATATAATTGAAACAAGGCATGCATCATCATCACACGCGCAACAATACAACAATACTGAGTTTACAACATTGTAATTGTTTACAAAAGTAACATCCCAAAATTATAAGGTTTATGATAGCAACAAAATACAACAAATTCCACATGTTCCTGATGTCCACCTGCTTAACGATTTCCTGAGAATACAAGTTATTTTGAAAACGTCAACATATATAATGTTGGTGAGTTCATAAGAATGTTTGAATGAAAAGTTTTGTATCATTTAGTAAACACCAGAAAATCCAATATTTTCTGTAAAATGGTTTGAAAGTTTTGTATCAAATCTTGTGTAAAGCATGTGTGTTTCTGTTTTGAACATGTATAAAAAGAGTATTCCAGAAAATCCTATATCATCTGTTTATAAAAGTGTTGTGGTCTTAAAACCCTAAGACCGGATACCAGAGTATATATGTATGTTTTTGTATCATCAAATTAGTATATGTATACTTCAATTTATAATGGAGTTATTCTCTATGTGAGTCGTTATAACCATACTTAATAATGACTGATCCGCCTGTCATGACGTTTTTCAGACGCCGACTTGTTTAAGGTAAGGTTTGTCACCCTAGACTGGCCTAGTCTAGCTGTAGCGATCAGCTCAAGTGTGGGGTGTCATCCCCGTATAGATCTATACACAAACTCTCGCTCTCCCTCTAGGAGACTCTGGTTATAACTACAGGCTTACGGTTGTACACTAGATAGGTACGAATGAATGAAATGTCTCACAAGAGCCTTAACTGGATTTACGCGAATATTGTATTACACTATGTAACGCAGTGAGAAATTGTAACACCCAAATTTTCAAATAATTTTTCACATTTTATAAAACACATTTTCATCCATAATTGTTATAAAAACACCATTGTTTCACATAGTCAAAACATAACATCATATCCCAAGATCATAAAATAGAAACTCCTCGTGTGTACTGATCAAGCCGGCGCCTTCCCGCGATCCTCACTGGTACCTGAAACACATAACACAACACTGTAAGCATAAATGCTTAGTGAGTTCCCCAAAATACCACACACCACACATATTAGCCACTCGAGGCTATAACTCTGTTTGACCCTCTGGTCAAAGTATCTCTGTGGGACCCTCCAGTCCCATAACTCTGTGGGCCCTCTGGCCCTAACTCTGTGGACCTTTCGGTCCTAACTCTGTAAACTCTGTAACATGCATAACATACATCACATAGAAATCACATCATACAAACACATGCAAAATACTCTGTCACATAACTCTAATTACCACTCTAGGTAAAGTATAGTGAG